TAGCATTCATAATAAAATAGATAAATAACCTATTTTAAAGTTGATCCTTTGGTTCAATTCATGAATACGTGTATGTTATATCCCAGTTCATATTCACACATTCTGCGTGTAGGATCAGAAAAGCGACTAGGCTACTTGCTGCACAACCGAGGAATCAAAGTTTGATTTCCTGCACGGGAAGGAAACTGGAGTCCAAAATGATTAAAAGATCATTGAGGGAAGCAATAGAGTGACATATAAAAGAAAGGATACAATAAAAGAACAAAATTATGAAAAATAAGAAAGATTAGGTAATCAAGTGACTTTTTCATTAGAAATGTTTTCCCTATTCCCCTGTTTTCTCTTCAATTTTTACCTTTATTGTGAGACATTTTAAATTTGATATTGCTGTGTACCCTCGATAGCAGGGATCTTTAGTTAAACGTAAGATTACATGTATACAAGCTCTGTCTTCGAAGTGTTTTCGCCAAATATGAAAAGACTTTTACCTCCATTCTGTTGTAACGTGGTCTCGTGGAATTGAATTGGGGTTTCTGGCAAGGATTTACAGACTGAGAATGTGAGACTCTTCTCAATCTGTTTCGGCACCTTAAATCATTCTCTGCTCTTCTAACAATCGCAGTGTGGGGTTTACCACTTATCTTCCATCTTATGAATCACATTAAACAGTCTTAGAAATATTCGTATTTCTGTCACTTCATTATTCGTACACTGTGTTTTTTCTTTATTATAAATAAAACACAAAACTTATTTAATAACACATCTCTCTTTATATTTATGATATTGCTTTCAGACTGAAGAAAGTGTAGGGCCTGTACGTCTGACCACATATCATATTTACTTGCTCGCTATGGAACTAATAGCACATTATTTTATTATTGATTCAGATGATACTCAAGAAAATTAATTTCTCCGTCAGAAGAACTTGTCATTTTCTAACATTCTACAGAACAAGGACGAGGTAGAGGAAGCAGGCGAAATATAATTGATAATATAATATTTTAATATTCTCTGGATGTGATATTCTGCGTTAAAGTGTTATTGGTATAGTTTTAAAAGAGTTACAGATATTGTAAGTTAAAAATTATAAGGCTTAGAATTTTATTTAGGTCAGAGAAGATGAGCATAGAAATTTTAAATAAGAAATATCATCTATTCCGTCTTTCCTATTTGGCAGTGAAGTCTGTACCATTTGAGAACAGACAAATGGATCAAGTGCTATAGGAGGAAGACGTTTAAGAGAAATGACAGGATAAATCCTTCTATAATACTGAAAGAATAATGCGCTCTATAAAAACTGAAGACTGAATTATCGGAAGAAAATCTCCATGAATATAAAGACATTGTCCTAATTGTTTTCAATACGTTCATCAAATGCAAGATTATAGATTATTTAAAAAGACACGAAATTCTATACAGTGACAGTGCCGAAAATTGTGTATCGGGCCACCGTTGAAATGCGCAAAATTCAAGGCCCAAAATTACTATTACTTTCCAAACTTCGAAAGAAGCTTAAGATGATAAAATTTAAGATTAATGCCTTCTGGGGTACAATACCGTGTAGTCCTCTGAAACTCAATGTTTCGGAGTACCCTATTGCCTCTTTATTCAGGGTAGAAATATAAGCCGAGCGGGATACCGTGGTGAAAGTAAGAGGAAAACACAGATCTCTGCTTGCCACCTGCTTTCAGGTGGCAAGCAGAGCTTATTCTTTGGGCCCTGAAGATGGACGCGATATATCCCTCCGAATATCGGTTGACTTTCAGCGAACTACACGACATTATATCCCAGATGTTTGTACTCTTCATAACCACCGCTGTGAGAACCTCAAATCCTGTATGATGAACTTAGAGGCCCAGTGCCACAAGCAGTCTGCCGTATGATATAGACCATATAAGTAATACACCCGGCATTCTGTTCTATTGTCTAGGCAGTTAGTTATAGCAGTGATGAAACTCGCTCTACCAGTAAATCCTCGCAACTCATTAGCATCACAATGAACTTTCCGCTGGGATCTGCAACATGCGGACTCACTGCATACTTACTTTCAACAGATGGGCTACAAATAAGAGGCACACACACTCACTCACTTCGGGGATCTCTTGATTGAAGTACTTGATTCTGTATTTCAGACCTATTGAATTGTTAACCGCAGTTCTGTCTCCAGTCACCATTATAAAGAGGTTGCAATGTCCGCTTGGAATTCAAGTTGGCCAAGCTTAAAAGTGCAAGAATAGAAAAATAACACAACCCTCGTCAGAATAGGAAACGGGAACCAGATATCCTCCTGTGCCGAACGGGTTTGGTAGAGACTGCGTTGTAGACTTGAATTCTCGAAGTTCTCAGTTCGATTCTCAGCCTGACAATCAGCTATCCGCGTAATCTTGTGAATGTATTGGTAGCATCACAGATACATCACAGTTGTCCTCTTTCGGAAACATAATTTCCCTCACGGTGTCTCGTACTATGTAGTAAAACTGTTGTCTCTTAAGATGTAGCTACATTAATCGGACCACCATGTCAATCTACCCATGGTCATACAGCTACTTCTTCGATCTTGGCCGCTTTTTCAGTTTCTTGATCTTTTACACAGTCGGTACAATTCCTTCGACGGGGGATCAGCCCGTCGCAATGCCGCTACCTGCACACACAGGACAGCACATATAGAGAATAAACGCACACACATCCATTCCCCGAGTGGGATTTGAACCCTTGATCCTAGGGTTTGAGCGGGCAAATTCGCTTCATTCTTCAGACCGCACGGCCACTGTGGCCTGCGATCTCTAACTATGTAGTTATGCTATATATACCTAACTTCGTGACCTGGCAAGTAGAACTCGTCACGCTATCTACGTAGGCTAAGCCGGGATAGCGTAGTCGGCATAGCAGTTGGCTACGGGCTGGACGGCCGAGGGGTTGGAGTTCGAGTCCAGGTAAGATCAAGAATTTTCTCCTCTCCATGTCTTCTAGACTGGCTCTGGGATCCACCCAACCTCCTATACAAGGGGTAATGGGGGCTCTTTCCCTGAGAGTAAAGCTACCGGAGCGTGAAGCTGAGCACTCACCTCCAACTAGTTCCTAGGCCTAGAAAACTTGGGTCTCTACATCCACTCCCCCATACGCCTTCATGGCGTAGTGCTTAATTAGTTAAGCATAGGGACAACTTTACTTCTTTTACTTACTCTATCAAGAAAAAAGACACATCACGAAGTTTGGTAGCTTTAACCTACATATTACAAAGTAAAAGAAAGGGTAAAGTTGTTCCTGTGCTTAATTAACTAAGCATCAAGCAGTGAAGACGTGTGAGTGGAGGGGGATTCTGCTTCGACGCATTTTAGTCTCGACACCAGACAGAGGCGAGTGGTCAGCGTCATTGCTCTGCTGCTTTACTCCTGGGGGGTGGGGGGGGGGTGGAGCCCTCAGTACTAATATACTGAAGGCTGAATTAGGCCCCGGTCTTGACGCTGAGGAGAAGAGAAAGAGCTGTTGTGTGTGCCAGGAATCGAACCCCGATTCTTAGGCCGTCCAGTCTATAGCCCGTCATTGTACCGACTAATAAAGCAATTAGAAGTGTTATCTGCAGAGTTCATGTTGGAAATGTGTGAAATAAACACTGCTGTTTAGAGGTTTGGACTTTGGCTTGTCATGCTCACTGACGACAATTCGTCTGGGGTCCTATCGTCCAGCTTCATCTCGTGTTGATGCTAAGAATATGTGGAAATATAAAGTTAACTAAATTCTCCCACACAAATATCCGTAATTAAAATAACAATAGGTTAGAGTATACGTTATACTAAATAACAAAGGTACTAATTCCTGTACATCAGTGTAACTTGTTATTTTTAATTTCGCTTGTAGAATGTACGCAAAAGTGCATGGGAGTGGCACTTGATCTAACGTGCGAGGATACTGTTAATCATCATCATCATCATCAGTAATCTGTCAGACGACAGGTCCAGAGTCTCTTCCAAAACAATTCCTCCACTTAATGCGATCTAGAGCTTTCTCCTTCAAATGAGAATATCCTCTTCTGTCCCCAAGGTCATCCAGCATCTTCTTACGTCTTCTTCCTCGTCTTCTGGTCACTTCTATCCGCCCCTCTATCTTTCCTTCAATAACTTCTTTTAGAAGGCAGTTTCTGCGTAACACATGACCAATCCAATTAGTCTTCCGTTTTCTTATTTCGTGTAGGCTATTCCTCTGCTCACTGACTCTAATTAACACTTCTTCATTTCTCACATAATCGGTCCAACTGATCTTCTCCACCCTTCTCCAACACCACATTTCGAAACTTTCCAGATGTTTCTGATCTACTGCCCTAAGTGTCCATATTTCAGCCCCACACAGAGCTATGCTCCAAATGTAGCATTTCACTAGTTTCTTTCTCAAATTTAAGTCCAATTTGCTGGTAAAAAGATTCTTCTTCTTGTAAGATTTGAGGCTTTCACGGCGGTGACTATCAAGAAAGCAGTCTTCTGGGATTTGGCACCGTGTATATGTGGTATAGCTGTGTATATTTCCACACAGTCTGCTTTTACCGGTTCTCACGGTCTCTTCGCTTGCAGATTTCTTATATTTTTTCTTCTACCCTGAAGATGGAGACGATACGTTCCTCCGAAACGTCGGTTAACACCACATATACACGGTGCCAATTCCCAGAAGACTGCTTTCTTCGATTCTTCTTCTTGCTAAATGAAGCTTTTGCCATGGCAATTCTGTTAATATTAGCCAGTAAATATCATATGAAGTTTGTCGAACATAAGATGGCTGAGAAGAAAGTCGTCTTCTTGGATCTGTCGCCGTGTATTCTTCGTTTTAACCGATGTTTCGGAGGAACATATAGCCTCCATCTTCAGGGTAGTTGAGTTGCTTGCGAATAGAGATAGCTGTAGCAGCATTGCTACAAACCTAAAAACTTACATAAGATGGCTGAGTTTGGCTAGTAATGGTAATGACAGTCCTATGTTACTATGTAACTATGTAATGTTACCTGTTTCCAGCCCCCCAGTTTCCCTCGCCATGGGTCTATCTCCGAGGTACCACACTGGTATGCTGACATCTCCCATAGAATTGCCACCCAAGCAAGAAGCAGACGATGGTAAGTACTGCTAATTCTTGTCACGTTAATGCCTATAGTGGGGACTGCATAAGAAATACACGTATATTGACTCGTTATGGGCTTAAGTGGTTCTAAACAACAAGAGAATGAAAGTGTAGAAAACACGTATGTTATAAATAAGATCTTCGCGATTCTGTATAATAGGTTAATTAATTTTGAAAACATGGCGCGATACTACAATCCAATTATTATTCACGATATCAAGTGCATTCTTTCCTAATTCAAATTTTTTTATTCTCTTTAATTTTAATTTTAGAGACAGTTACATGTGGATGTCTATCAACTGTCATCAACAATATGGAGACAATATAAATTTTTAAGGGATCGGCGACAGTATTGCTATCCATTGTTGTTTCTTCAAGTTTCGTATAATCATAAAGCTGTAAGAGAAGTTCTTGGAATGGTAGATGTCTAGGGGTGCAGGGTCGATTCATGTTCGAGACATTCATATTTGTTCCCGGTTTTCGATTGTTGCCATGCGAATGTTTGCCCATCCAAGCTATGCCGTGTCGCTGAATTTAGCGTAAGGATAAGAAATGTACTGTAGAGTCCCTGTCTTGGAAAATTATGCAGCCTTTCCACTATGAAAAAAAAATAACAATATGGTGACCGCGCGAAATATTTTGATTTGTTAGTTGATAAATCAATGTAATTTAAATCTCATTAGGTTAAGCAATAAATTATAGCATCAATTGTGTTTAAGAGCATAGACGCTGGTTGATTCTCTACTCACGTTCCTACTTTTAACCAATTTACGTATTGCTCCTTACTGTAGTGAGTAGATTGTAAATTCGCAGAGAAATAAAAAAAAAAATTAAATCTTGAATCTGTATGGCGATGTATTTTAATCAGAGATAATAGTAGACTAATCTATTAGTGAATTCCATCTACTCTACGTACCAAGGTATGTCATATTTTATGCAGACAACCTCACAGAATAAAAATCTTGTGCAATTATATTTGTATTTCCCACCGACGTATGAATAGGAAAGTATATCGAAAACATATTCTAGTAATTATGTATGGTGTTTTTACTGTCTAGATCACTAAATGAATATTAAGAACATTCGCTGCTTTAGCAGATGGAGTATAATAAGATACAATTTTTCGGAGTTCAAAAATTCATTCAGTAGACCATAAATTAAATCTGAACATCACCTTTTGTCATTGAGCTGCTATTCTTTGTTGATAAAAATAAACTTCGGGTTACATTTTCAGTGTAGTGAACGGCGTCACTACATAAAAACGGGTCGTGACCGCTTTGACTTCGTCATCAGCAGTTCGCAATTTTTATCAAAAGCCTTGACGTAACCGGGGCGGGGAACTTGCTGTTACACACACAACAACGTCATGCGATTTTTTTTTCTTCTTCAGACCTTTCTGTGCTATGTTCACAAAAGGAAGCAAAGTGCGTCAACGAAGAGACGCGCGCCTGTATTAAGTGTTCTTCGTAAGAGCATTTTGAAATAAACGCATAACTGACAAGTACGCATAATGTTTCTCTGTTGTCCTCATAGTTCCCTTTCGATTATTCTGAACGGATTCGATTAAATTTAGTTTTGAACACCTACGTTTAAATATGTTGGATTAATTTGATTCTGGTTAGTATCTGTACGATACACATTTTAATGTACCTGGAATTTAAACTAAAATTTATTGTCCTATAAAATATTAAACTTCCGTAAATTATGGATGCCATTGGGATCTAATGCTTATAAATAAAAATGTTTTCTACTCTGTAAATATTCTTCTTCTTCCTCAGACATGAGTCGTCTAGCAACCAAGTCTCTCTATTCATCTCTGCTTTTCCAAACCTTTCTCTCTCAGTTTCTTCCAATTTTTTTTTCTGTGTAACTTCTTTTGTAACCTGATGTTCGAGGCTTGATTCCGGTCTTGCTGGGCTAACAGTCTATATTCCTTGTTTTGAAAAGAAATTAAAGCAGGCTTATTATATCACCTTATGGTCTGTATATGTGTATCCCCGTTATCAACTTTTGAACGCCTGAACCGATCATTATAAAGTTTTGTGTGTATATCGTGGCATCAGAACATATCTAAATGTAGTTTATAAATCCCTCCCATCAGTAACGCGAACATCACAACCTCTTACACTGTTGAGACAAATCATTCTTATTGCTTGAGTGCCTGTACCAAACTTCATAAAATTTCGTATGTAGTCTATATGACGCCAACTGAAGCCACCTCCACCATGCATTAAAATATCTTTCTCATCAGCATTATCCTTCAGCCTCTCAGATTGTATTGTTCGCTTTTTTTATTTCAATACTCATAAACACTAACATTTTCTTTCTATTCTTCTTATCAGATACTCAGGTCGTAGCCGAAGAAAAATAGACGAGTAGGTTTTCCCAGAACAGCCTTTTATTTTTAGTTTCATGTTCATTTCATTTCCTCATACTCCATCTCGAGTCATTCTTAAAATGTGTGCAAGCCATGGTATTCCCTTATTTATATTTTACTCCTTTGACATCTATATTCATGTTCTGCTTATTTTTAGTTTCTTCTTTTATTTTCTGTTTTCTTCTATCATACTTCTTAAAGATTGTGATTGTAACAGTCCTTAGTTTAATAATAATTTCCTTGCTATACAAATTTTGTCGCTTCTTAGGCACCGCAGCCTCGATAACCCGAGCTAAATAAAATACAGGTAGGGTCTGACTATCCTGTCTTTAGGTTTATGGAGTTTCGAACAGACTTTGTGTTTTTAGCAAAAATATTTCTTCGGAATATTTACAGCTATGTTTTTACATAAATGACAAGACTTTTTAAAATAATATACTTCTTAAACGCATTTAAAGATTATTTTTCTTCTGCCCTAACTAGGTTAGGTCTTTCAGTAACTAGACAAGTAGGCCCATTAACACATGATATATCATGTTTCACAAGAATCAATTTTTAATGGAAGAAAGTGAGAGAACATAATTAAATTTGTAATATTCGAAGGTGTTTTTTTTTTTTTGTGGTACTGTGAGTCAGTTCGGATTAGCGTAATTCGGGTTACTTTTGAACTGAATTCTTTTCCCTCACTTCTGCAATCCCATTTCCAAAGTAAGAATATCTCTCATTATTTAATAAAATTTTCCGAAGCTTTATTATTATTGTAATTTCTTCATTAAGTCTTCAATCAGCCATTATTTTACTTTATAAATATTTAAAACCTTCAATTTTCTTTGTTTTATGGTTATCATGTTGAATTTGCATATTCTTCACAACATAGTGTGACGTGACGGTGCCACGCTCGGTAAACACCCCGTCCCCCTCCCTCGCGGTGACGTAACAGGGGACACCACGGTTGTTATGTTGCAATAAACAACTCTCGGCAGCGTTGCCCAGCAACGCCTTTGTAAACACGGCGGTGAGACCGTGCAACGACTGTTGCTAGGCAATCATGACCTTCCGTCTCAAATTCATAACCACACATTTATTCACTGACACTGAAGCCTAATCTGAAACATTGGTGCGCTTTGGAAACACTCTCAAAATTGTGTCAAATAAACTTCCCTTCATCTCACCATTAATTATGGCTTCTGTTATGCGTACTTCTGTAACTATTCTTCTTATCTTATCCTTAATTATATTGAACAGTATGTGCTATAAGGCATTTCCATGTTCGACGCTTTTAAATATTTGAAGGCATTCAGATCATCCTGCCATTGGTTAACACGTCATTTTCTCATTTACCAACGAAATGCAAAGAAACTTTGCCTGCGACTAATGCAGTGTGGTACCTGTAGTGTGATTAAGTTGGCAACAATGGATCTATAACTACAACAAATAAAATTCAAGGCTGATTACACACAAGTTCTTATGCAAAACGACATCAAAAGTGCCTTTACTTTGCGTTCCTTATTTTGAAAGAAAATAATCCGCATTCTGTCTACGTGTCTGTGTTTGCCCCGTATCAAGTTTTGACTGCCTGCACTAGTCTTTAAGAAACCTGGTGGCCTATATCAAAGGCGTACTTCAAAAATGCCTCCCATTATTCTGTCTGTCTGCAAGTGCATCCCTCTGTCGTTGTTGGGGATCGGCTAGGTAAAAACATTTTCGCTGCAACGAATACACACATAAAGACAGAAGAATTGTTGGGTGTGTCGTTTTCTATGTAGTCCGTGTCTTATCGATAGAAAGTAGACGACTATTCCTTTCGATAACTTCTTGTTAAATATGTAATCTGATCGAGGTGCTCTCCTCTTGTCATTTGAAAGAAACGGTTGAACTTGAAGAGATAAATAAAACGGAAGGAGTAGGTAGCCATACTTGTTCATGGGCTATTATGATCGCGACTGAAATTTCTTCGTGAGATTAGTTTTCCCATCTCTCTCTGGCTTTCAATATTGCTTCTACTTCCGACTCTGAAAGCGGGCCCAAATCCGCTTGTGACGTCGGTAGCTTTTATACGTGCAGCAGGGCGCAGTTCGATTTGATGGTAAAAGGCAGCGGCATTCGAGAGCTGAGATATTGGATTTGATGCCGTAGCGGCGTGCCAGGGGTCTTCTCACAGTGCCTAATCCAAAAATGACTAAATGTATGTTTATTTTGCTTCTTTTTTATTTGTTGATGTTTTCACAGCATCATAAAATCCAACGATCCTGTGTGGTGTTGGTGTAATTAATAGAGTATTTAGTGGGACAATTAAGCTTCAAATGTTATAGACCTGAAGCGTAGATGAAGCTTCTGCTGGCTTTTGAACCAAGCAAGCTAGAGATGTGGTGACGTTCTAAACTTCAATTCAGAAGGTACTTGATTCGACTTGTGGACGGGACTGAGGTTTTTCGTGGTTTTCTCCGTTCACCTTCTTCCAATTCCATTATTACTCCTCCTTCACTTTGTTCCGTGCTTTGCAACTTCTGTAATTGAAACAAAGAGGTCCGTAGTTGTAAGTTCGGTGTGAATTCCAGCTAAATTTCCTGGGGCTGTTCGTGGTGTTAGTCAGTCCATCCAGGTGAATTAAAAAATGG